TGTATTGTACAATTTTATATTACAAAAAGATAACATTAAATTGCTATATTTATCATTTAATACTGCCTCCATCAAATTTTTAAACCTGATCAAATTAATATCTTTAAAATCAATACAATGTCTATATATATTACGTTACTTTAAAATCTTGAGTCTTCGCTTTAAATCTGTCTCTTTCTTATATCTAAAACATTCACATTCTGAAATAACCGTATATTTTTCTTTACGACGCTCGAAAAGTCTCTGCTCCTTCTAAAAATCTGCGCCGCCCTCTTTTCGCAAGTTGCCAAGATGGGTTCGATGACTCTGCGTACATCAGCAGGAAAAAAACCTATATGAGAACCGCGGAGAACCGCGAAAAGAGAACTACGTTCACGCTCCATTTTCGTTATGATAACGCCTTAATAGCACTAAGGATGAACGGATCGGTACTTCGCTGATAATGTCACAGAAGAAAGCTCACCTCGATAAAAGCGGCGAAACCGTAGCCTCCAGCCTGAGTCCAAATCGAAGTTGCATTATAAAAAAAAAAAGAGAGAGAGAAAAAGAGAAACAGAAATATCGGACGAAAAGGGCAATGAAGCAATATTTTACTCTTTAAGTCCGGCTTTAGCTTTCCGTATGGTGACTTTAGTCGTAGCTACGAATCGCTCGAAGACTATATTTCGCAAAATAGCAACAACGTTGGCCCCTTTCAGAACGACTTTCAAGAGTTGACTACAATGAAATAAAAAGGTCAAAGGTAAACTTTCTTTCTGCTTATATAGGCAAGAGAAAAGATAGAGGACATTTTATTTGTTTTATACTTTTGTTTTATACTTTTTGTATAGGGAAAAGAAGGTTAAGATGACGAAAAAAGTATTTAAAATGATAAATTTCTAATTTTTCTAAGCTAGTAACAAATAAAAGAATTTGATGCCTAACTTATTAATTTCACAACATAATATTTTGATAACATAATATTTTGTATTCGGACATTCTAATTCTATAGATAATGAAAATGAATAATATAATAAAAAATTTGTTTTAAATGTACCTATATGTATTTATACGTAATTTTTTGTGTTTGTTTATACGTCTAATTGTAATAATTATATAATTGTATAATTATAATTGTAAATTGTACTTACATTTTCTTTAGTAAAAATATTTCTTTCTATTTATACTTTTTACTACATTAAAATATTATGATATTAAAGTAGTATGAAAAGTTCATTACAATAAATTTTTTTATCTATAAAAGCAAATTTACTTGTATTTAATTTGATTTTCTGTTAACTTTTTACATAATATGTAAAAAGTTAAACCAAAAATAATATTATCTGCATATACAAATAAAATGACGAAATTAACATATTTTCTCAAAATATAAATTTTCAAAAGTTCTAATTCATTTATCAAATTTTCAATTTTTACGAATTATTAAACAAAGTTTAGTGAATTTAAAAAATAAATTACTATTACGTCATCGTAGAAATTAGGAAAAAGTCATCAAAATTTAAAACCATCTTTTTATCTTTCTTTTTTCAACTTTATATTAATCTTCAATTATTTTGATTACTTCGATGATGTAGAATAATAAAATTGAACTAAATGTTTTTCTAATAACGATTATATAAAATGTCAAAACCAGTAATTCTGAACTAGATTCTTTTAGTTCCCGCGGATAGAGACATACTTTTTTTTTCCCCGGTCATAAGTTACAAAGAATCGTCCGCGTTTCCAACTTTGGACGTCATGATCGACGATGGCTGGTCGCGAATATCCTTCAGGCCTTTAAATGCAGGAACGATCTAAGAACGTAATAAAATCTTTGCGAAAATTTGTGCGAGGGCGGGATGATCGGTCGGACCATTCGAGGGAAAAAGTAGCTAGCGAGTAACAAGAAGAACTAAATTCCATTTCATCGCGGAAGGATCTCGGCCAAGAGGTGATCGCTTCTATCATCGTAACCTCGCAACATTGTGGAATCTTCGTAAGCGCAAGTTCACGATGCCGTCGTTAAATTGAATCACGGCCGTACAATTTCGTAAAACTCACCCTCGTTATGTATCACGAATCGCCGTTGGCTGAATGCAAAACGTGTATTTCTTCACGATCGGCTAAGCAACGTCCATTCGAACGAGAATTCTTGCTCGAAGAAAAGGAAAATGCAGCTCGCAACCAAAATGGGAAGAACAAATAAAATTTATTCTTTGGTAGAATGAAAACTTTTCTTGACCTTCGCACTACTCACCGAGAATAAAGTTCTACATATGAAGTACCGGAAGTTTGTTTTTCCGCTATTTTTATCTCACGTTTAAATATCACTGCTGCAAATGTGACGCTGGCATACGGGTATAAGTTGCATAATTAACAATCATAAAGAAGCTTTAGCTAAAGAACGGGAATTGCGTAAAGTGTATCCTTGACAGCGTAGGTAGGAAACACTTCCGCAGCTTCGATCATTTCTCTTTATATTGGGAGAGGTCGGATTGCGGGATACAATGCACAAAATCGGCGCTCGACGAAAAATAAATGGTTACGTAACAGCGTGCGGGGGTATTTTCTGAAACAAAAGAAGATGTATGCGGGGTCAGTTTATCACGCTGGTCAACAATGGCGGTATCGGAGGATCCATTTTCCACGGTAGTTGTACGTGCCGCCTAAAACGAAACGAAAATTGAAAAAAATACCCGCCGTTCATCGGCACCTAAGAAGTGCTCGAAACGAATGATAAAGTGCCCGAAAGTCGGAAAGCGGAACGAAAACTCCTACTTCAATTCTTCCAACATTTCGCGAGCCCTGCTTTACATAATTACACATTAGTCTATTAAAGTTCAATTTCGAAAACGGACCGTTTGAATTTAATATAGAGACGGATGGTAATCATTTTGTCGTAATTTATGTTCTAACATTTCGGCGACTAAACCGCAACGTGTTAAACCAGCATTTCCATTGCCGAATTGGAAACTTGTTTATTGCCGATCGATATCTTTCTGGACAGTTCAGAGAAGATCGTCAAGGGGAGGTTGATCCGTTTCCTCTTACGCTTTTCAACGACGGGCGAACAAAGATATATACGCTAGGAGGATGAGTTTTATTACATCGTTCTGGAGTTGTAATTCAATTCCGTGGCAGAATTCATGGCGGTACACGCGAACTAAGCCAATTGCCTTGTCCGCTCGATAGAATCGAACGGTTCTAGTTGTCTGCAAGTTAAACTGGCACATTGCTAACAATTCGTAATTCTAGTAAAAACAGAAATTCGAGAAACAACCTCCCCTCGCCAATCGATCTCTCTGAGACTGATCTCGAGATTTACTCTTTAAAAAAAAAAAAAATATCGGGTTCCAGAGTTTTTCGATTTAACGACAATCAAAAATAAAGAGCTCTTCGCAAAACTGGAACAACCGGTGGAAAAATTTTACATAAAGAGATATCATATTCCATAAATTCAGGTATCGATAGATTGAGGATCACTTGAAATAAAAAATATATACGCGTAACAAAAATGCTAGTAAAATAGTTTTGCGAAATAAATGGTGTGACAGCTTACAATTTGTCGGTTTTATAACACCAGTATTTCCTACATCGCCGCCTCCATGACATCCGCGACTTCGAATCCTTGTCGAAGATTTCACACTAACACTATTTTTTTTCACCATGCGATCACGCGCGACCCCGAATCGTCTGATCCTACTTTTCATGTCACGTTTATCTGTCTGGGATAATGTAATATCAAGATTCTCAATCTCATTCTTTTCGGAAAGTCCGTGTCTTTTTACTTTTTACCGATTCGACACCTTGTGACACTGAAATCCTTAAGCTTGAGCTTTTAAAAAAGTCCAGGCGAGTTCAAATACGATTGCTAAAAGTCTTGGCTTTTGTTTTATATTCACAAACGTTTATTCTATTAAAAAAAAATTAAATTATTATTAAGTTATTACAATTCATGATTGTTTTAGCGAACATGTAAAGCTGGAATACAAAGAAGATTAGTACAATCTCTGCAAAAATAACATGCGATTTTAAAAAAACATTTTAATCCCTTTTATTTAAATTAAAAAATTGAAGGTAAATATCAACGTAATTCCTTTTAATTGTTCAAAAATAATCTGCTTTAACGCTACGAGGAAAATCTTTATCGTTACACTTGGTATTTTATTTTAAACTATCTAGTGCATCTAATGTTACATCCAAACGTAATGCGGGATTCTTTTTCCATCTTTTTTCCCCGTCATAAATTACGAACTTCGTCGCAAAGTCGCGTCCGACCTGATATTACAAATATTAAGGGCAATAGGCACAGAACAATGGGCGGGATCGGAAGTAAATGGACCACGAAGGGTGTGGCAAGAGGAAGCACATGGAACCAAGAGGTATGAAAGACGCGCTGTTCGCGACTGAACGTGACGCAGTTATTGGATGTTATTGCCAATACTCTCGTTCGACAACAGGTGCATGCGAAGAGAAAATGGTACGCTCGAAATTTATAGAGGTCAAAAAGACTGACTACTAATCATGCGATGCAATGCAATGGACCTATTATTAAAAAGAATAACTTCGTTTGTGGACTTCGCAAAATCTCTTCGGCGATATCTTTCCTGTTGTGTCGTACGTTTCATTCGAAGTACATACAATGTGTATATACATGTATATATATATATATACACACACACACACACACGCGCGCGCGCGCGCGCGCGCGCGCGCGCAATTTCATAATTAAACATTGAAAGTTAAATAATTTTAATCAATAAAAATTGTTTAAGAATGTTAGATAAGATGTTTGTCAATTAGTGTTAATAGCTGAGTTTTGTTACTTTATAATTATATATAAAATATATCTCATTTTGAAAATAAAAAGATTATAATAAATAATGCTTTTTTTATATATAAAATAATATTTCATTAATTTTTTTCGACGAAAATATTATATGATATCTATAGATTCTATATAAATAGCTTTAAAAATAAATTATGTAAATAGACTTTGTGCAGAAGTGTAATATTAAAATAAGAATCTTTCACAAAACGACATAATTATTCTAATATCTCAGTAAAATAATCTAATAGGTTTTCCGTACATTCTGGGAATAAACTGTTGCAACTATTTGGATCTTGTTGACCTGCGATTTCAGCAGCATGATATTCTTGATCGTAGGTATTCCTAAATGGCTCAGACGTGGTGGAAGGTCTGAAATATTTGTATAATAAAAATGACTAGATTTTTAAAACACGTTCCATTTCTCTATGCAAAGAATTATTATAAAATGTCACGTTTTGGAAAAATTCTGTTTCTGTTTGTTCTTCTAGAATTACTTCATTTAAATACTTCTACTCTAGAATTAGAAAAGTTTGTATATTAATTACTTTCAAATAATAAATTATTCATTTATTTATAAATTTCATATCAGTTTTATTTATAATATTAAAATATAGATATTTGATTTCAAATTTAATTTCAATTTATAATTAAAAATTACCCTTTATTGATTATCCTTTGATTTATCTTTTATTTCTTTAAGCTTTAGGAAAAATAGAAAGGATCTTGATTTAAATTAATTATTTGTTTAATTTGAAATTTAATCCGTTGTAACTGAACTTGTTGATTTCTCTTTTTAGGCATTTATCGAAGTAAACATTTTAAGTAGACCTTCCAGACTTAAATTATTTCTATTGTAACTTTCCTTAGAAACAGATATTGTTTGTCACGCTATTGTTATTAAATAACTTTAATACCAAAGTTTCGAAGTTTGTAATTAATTGTTGATTGTTACACTATTAGTAATCAACCAATTCTATAACAATCAGAAAATTAATTTTAATTTTTAAGTTGAGATTCCAAATATTTTCAAAATTAATCTTAAGATTACTTTTTTTTCTAACAATTCTTTAATTTAGATTTATACTGACTTTAACTTTAAAATTAAAATGTCCTATATTGAAAATGTCCTAAGAAAAATTGTATCAAAATTTCACTTGAATGAAAATAGTTTAGGACATTATTTTGAAAATAAACTGAAAATGACTCTATAAAAATTTGTATTTGTATAAGTCCAGACACAGAAATTCTTCCAAGTAAAGAGTATCTATTCCTAATTAACAAACTGACAGTGAGTGTAAGAATTCCAAAACATTTCCGCATGCTAATTTATACTGAAATGGTCAGAACTACCGCGCACTACTTCTATTTTATTCCTACATTAAAATGCATTTTTTAAAAGGAAAAGATTTTTATCCGGGTATAATATAGTTTTTTTCGAACTGTTAGTAATTGCTATCGCCTGGTACCATCGACAATCGATAAATAATTAATATTCGCGTTATTGTGGTTGCAAACCACTTTGAATTTATTATTGGTTATTTCTTTCAATTAAAATATGAAATAATTATCTATACATGACAAAGAACAATATTACAAAAATTGATAGTATTGATAATAAAATGCATTATTGTATCACAAATTGTTCAGTAAAATAAGAAATTATTTTGCAATTGTTGTAATACATTGCAAATATCTTATCATTTAATTTAAAACGTACGATTATCTCATACGTTCTAAGTAAATGTCTTATGAGGTGCTCGCGTGTGCTTGAGCCTAGAAATACATTCGCATAATACGATGATATGCATGCAACGTAAACTATTCATATATCTAAGCCACGACAATGGTACCGGAAATGTAACAGTTCCTTAATCGCGAAGCTGTTCCGAGCTTGGCTAAAGATTACTCTAAGAGATTACTTGCCGAATTAATGCTTACGTGAGGAAAATATGGGCGAGTTGCGCAGTCAGAGTATGGCTCCGTCTAAAAGGCACCGCCGCGGCTTCGCAAATGGTTTTCAAAAGGCAGGCTTTCCCCGAGCGTATAGACTCAAAGGCCGACTCGAGAATTTCATAACCCTCCCATCTGGATATCAAAGCTGCCTCATCCAAAAAGAAATAATAATAGAAATACAGATGAAATGCACGCACAAAAGTAAATAATGCAAATAAAAGTAATATCATAATTATGTGTATTAAAAAAATAAAAGTGAAAAGTGTGATATTTGTATACTGCTGAACATTTACTTCAAACTTCAAAGTACTGCTACAATATTTACTTCAACTTACAAAGTAATAGATCTAATAAATTATTAATAAAATGCAGCATTATTATATAATAGCATTATTAAATAGCTCAAAGATAATTCACAAATGTTCTTTTTCTATAACAATCATTCTCTGAGTATTAAAGTTGTTTTTTTTTTTTTTGTTACTAAAATGTAATATGAGTTTACGCTTAAATGTAATACCCCGTTTTTTAAACCGTTATTATATTCTCTTGCTGCATCGGTACCGGTTAATATCTCGGAAAATATTCTCAAAGACCATCAAGTATCTGAAGATCAAACGCCACAAGTCATTACGAGTTCCGATACAGCGTAAGAAGAGGTACGACGAGAAAAAAAAAAATAAGGAAGGATTCAGGCTACGTTAGGTTGGATTAACGAGATCAAAGTGAATGGGAGAGAATTCTTCGATAAAGGAGCAGGATTAACGTCTATTATACTACGGTGGTAGGCATACGGGTCACGCAACAAAAGTAGGCTTATTAACATGTAAAGGGAAAGGCTCCTCGCCTTATCCCGGTATTAAGCCTCGTTTTTCATTCCGCTCCTCGAGCCCCGAGTAGATTTCGAGGAGCGGAATTCCACTCGAGATCTTCTCGATGCATCTTATATAACGCTCTTGCATAATATCTCGCGTTTTCTCTTCGCCGTCTGATCACTTCGAATGCATCGACACGATGGCGCGTCTAAGAGGCAGACAGACGTAAAATAATAAATATGACTTTCCCTCGACTATTTTTTCGCGAAGATCCGGATCAAGTAAATTTTATTTTTCTCCCCGGAGTTAAATGTGTGCCGCTGCATCTACGCCATCGAGATATCAATAGTTTCACTTCAAGCACTGTGATCAAGAGTTGTTTGAATGCAATTCGATGCAAGAGCGATGAATTCTTCTAATTCTCAGATATAAAGATACATATATGACATATACATATATGATAGTTTCCAAAATGTATTGATAATGTTTGTGTGTATAAAACATTCGATAGTAATAACTTGACGTATGTTAAACTTTAACGCAAGAATTAAAATCTTTGACATGACATTTTATAATAAAAATTTCTATAAAAAATTTGAATTAATACGTGCAAGATAATGCCTTGGATAATAATAATTTAAAATATCATTTTATTATGAAAGTGAAATTGTGATGAGCGAGGAGACTCTTTAAACAAAAGGATTATCATAATAACTTCAATTAATTCAGTACGAATACAGAATTAATACGGGATAATACTAAAATGAATGATTTGAATAATAATTCAAGATTATTTTATTGCTGTTACAAAAGTTAAGCGAGAAACTCCTCTGAATGGAGGAGCTGTTATAATATAGCTTCAATTAATCTCACATCCCATACAAGCAAAGAACATGATACCTTTCGCATTTGGCGGAGAGGCGTCATTTCCAGCAGGCTCGACATGGCGGTTGATCGATCTGTCATAGCGGACGTATGGATCCGTCAAGTATGAAGCGTTATAGGGCAGGACGTAATTAAATTTCATCACGTAGCCGATAATCATGCTGACGTCAACTTCCATGGGTAAACCGAGGCCGAGGATTAACTAGAACGGTTTTCAAATATAGGAAGGTGTCATCGATCGTTTGCCACAACCAGAGATCGAATCATCCCCTCGTTTCTCCCTCTCGTCCCGGCTTTCCGTCGGCCTCCAATGCCGGCAGCGATCGAGGTTCAACCGCACGAAATTAGATCGGAAAATGGATGTCCCGAAACTCTGTGATTCGAATAGGTCGGCGATATCGCGAATCCTCCATCAAAACGCGTCGCTCGCCGTCGAATCGTTGCACAAAACAACCCGAATAACACGATAACGGGCCGATTTTTATTTAATTTTTATTTAATTTTTAAGTCAACTTTGCTGGAGGCAAAGTCGAAACTAAATGAAAAATTACAGCATTTTTTTTAATACGCCACATTCAGCAATCCTGATTATTATTGATTGTAATTTAAGATATATTTTGTACAAATATAATATAATCTCAATCAAGAAGAAGCAAAAATATTAATTGTATATATTCAAAATATATGATTGTAAAATATAAATATTAAAAATAAAAAAGGATAAATCTAAATATTACTTTTTTATTTAGCAATATTCCAAAAAGATGATTACATCTATTTTTGTATTAAATGTGATTTAGAATAATTTATATTTTTTTCATAATTTTTTTATTGTAAATAAAAATAGGTAGTGTAATACATCCTTAATAATCTTGTTGAAGTATTGATATAACCGCGATTTTTCATACGATCTCGTTTGTTTTATTGAAAACAAAGATATGGAAGATATTGAAAAATATCTTGGAAATATCTATGAACTCGTATATACCTGAACTTTTGTCGGTGCAAAGTCTCTAGGTGGCGGATACACCAGGTATCTCTTATCACGCGCCAACCTGCCGCTACTTTGAGATAAAGCGGTGACATAAATATCATAAAGACAGATACATAGGATGGCTAGCGAAAACTCACGAGGGATTCGCATTCTTAAACACTCGGGACTGGCGATTTGGCGCTGTTCGATAGCGAACGGCCGTAGAACGGCCGAACGCGCCAATTATCGCAATTAATAGCGCTGGTTAGTCGGCCACCGCGAGTTAAGCGGATAATGAACGCTTTGACTTTGCAAAGTTCACGCGCGATAACACGTATGGATACCATTTTGATATAATATATATTGATTAACAGCTTAAGAGCTGTTTAGAGGAAGAGAAGAGACCCAAAAATTGAAATTATATCGATTTAAAAGCTCTTAAATAGTTCTTAATTTTAGAGATAAATTCAATATTCTTATTTTAAGTGGAGGCTGAGTAAAGCCGTCTCCTCTCTCATTTAAAAAATCGAATTTCAATTTACAGAAACCTCAAAATTTTTAATTTGCACAATTCGAAAGCTCAAAATGGCTTATAATTTTGAGTTGTACCTTTTTTTCTTTCCGCAAGGTGGAGATGCACAAAGGTCTTCTGAAATATATCGTAAAAATCATATAATCAAAAATAATAATATTCCGTTTTTCTAATGAAAACTTTTGTTTTGTTTTTTTCATTTGCCAATCAATTCAAGAGACCAATTGAAAGACCGAATTGTGGCTACGGTGCACCAAATATTGCCAGATCAGTGTTTGGCAGCAACACGAATTGTCGATGCTAGATGCAATGCTTGAAGGAGCTAACATTTTGAACAATGCCTACATTGAGGAAGTGACAACTTAAAAAAATAAGTGTGAATGAATAAGTGATAAATACAAAAATGACGTACGTTTTGTCTTTTCTTGCGATTTTCAAAACGCAGCAAAAACGAACACATCTCTAAAGGATTTTTTTTCTTAGTTTATCGGTTCTCTATACGCTCCCGACGTTTTGACATTTAAATTCGGGACATCCTATATAAATACGAATTCGAGCATCGTGGCGTCATCTCGTCGCGGTCATTTGACGTGGCAGTTAATCTCGTAATTAATCTCAGTAACGTAATCGCTTTGAAAGGGTTTTGAATACTGACAACTCAATAAATTTGCACAAACAGCTCATTCAGATGCGGATTCTCACGATTTAAATGAGATCGATGAGAAATGCAACGCGGCAGAAAATCTTCTTATGGATTTGAAGAACTGATATTAATAAGATTAGAGCGCGCGCGAAAATTTTGTTATAATTAATTCTGTTGTATGAATAGAAATGCATTATTCATCCTGATCAAAGAGCAATGAATTAAAAATACGATGATATTTGTGAAAAAAATTTCTAAGTATTTGGAAGTGAGCATCATTATATATATACTTGATACATTGAATATATTTCTAGTAATAAAATTAATAAATTAATATTTTTTTATTTATTTATTTTTTTCTAACAATCTATGAAATTTAATTCATTTCTGATTTTTTCCTTTTTACAAATCCAATGACAGTTCCAATTATTTAAAATTAAAATATTTTTTTATTCATTTATGTAAATTTATCAATAAAACGTTAAAAATTTATTAATATCAAATATAAGTAGCAACTATCATAATTCAAAGAATTTACAAATGTTTATATATTTCAAGTTTATATATGTTTCAAGTATGACTAATTTTTATAATTTATAATTTTACTAAATTAATGTTTTATAAATTTAATTCATTTTTCTTTATGTTTTCTAATTAATTGAAAGTATTTAAACACTAGCGATTTAAATAACATATACGCATTAAGTTTAGATTCTTTAAATTATCTTCAAGTTATCAATTCAATTATCTTCAATTATCATTCCATTATCTTCAATTATCTTCAATTTTT